AAAAAAAAAGCTCAAAAGAAAGACGGAAGAGATGGTAGAAAAAGAGCAGAAGTAAAAACAAAAACAATTTTCTTTCTTTGGCAACAATCTGCTACTGTTTTTCTGCTGCTTTCCTTTTTTGTTCATATCTGTATTTTTAAGAAGAACAATTTGGTTATTTAGTGGATTCAGAAGTGATATCTCTCAGCAGTGCTGTAGGAATTAAATAGCTTCTGGTTTTAATGATTATCACAGTAAAATTTCCAATGGCTACTATCACAGTTGAACTGAACTTACAATAAAAGTGTAACTTGTTACGCTAATGTCACAAATGCTGCAGCAAAGACAGAGAGAGAAGCTAGGGAAAGTACAGCAGAAAGCACAAACATCAACATTCATGGTTCAGAAAGAGTGATTAATGCTTCTGCCTATTGGTGACGATATTGACAACCAAGCACACACAAATCATGTGGCTAAGCTTTCATATTATAATGTTGCTACAGCAGTATGCCCTGGTATAGCATGAAGGAAACCAATTTGGGGACTGGGTCCAGAAATCTATCATTCACATTTTGTATACTTTATTACATTTCTACACACTAATGCATGGGTACCTCAAAATTAACTGAAAATAAATAATAGTGGTAACACATTTCTTTTTAAGGTGGACTGAAAGGAAAGATCATTGTCTTCAAGAAAGAATGCAATGTTCAATATTCATATTATTTGAATCAAAGAGTTAAATAAATCTCATAAAAAGCACAGTCATTAAATAGGTAACGTGATATTTTGAATTTAATTCACTTACATTTTTCAGAATTTCTCCATTGTGGGGGCAATAGAGGGATTTCCTATTCTATAAATGTAATATATGTAGAATTTTTGGATCACTTTCTGAATTATAGTTGCTACATAACAGATTCAGATAACAGTTAAATGGGCATGGTCACAATATATAATTCTAGAATAAAAAGACCATAATATCTATTTGATCATGATAAAATAAGGCTATATAAAGCAACTGTCTATCATGATTGTGTCTTAATAGTACCTTTTGGGCCTCAATAGAATTACAGCAACGGGTGTGATGAGCAGACTTAAACTGCCATAGCACTATTTGGGGGCAGTACAGCAACTGCCAGAAAGAAAGATATGACAATGTTACAATATTCAGGCACATCATAAAGTCCGACCGACAGTCCAATGTTTCACAGAAAAGCAAAAGCCTGGTGTGGTTGATACCTCCCAATATCAATTAAATAAACCAATCTCTAGCAACTCTAAGGAATCTTCTTCAGAGCCTCCTATCAGAGCATTAAGAGAAAGGATATTCCTGTTCTTAACAAAAGCAAAGATTATCCAGGTACGGTAAGAAATATTTTCCCCAAGTATATACAATAAAATCATAGGCTAAAAACTTTTTACTGGAATGAAAGCACATTAAATGCATTAAAATGCCACTTCTCCCCATTAGTGCACTGTTAATAAGGCCTGGATCGAAACTGAGTCTTAACCATTTGAGAGAAAACAAATTTCCGCTACTCCATTGGGAGGAGCTAACTGGGTTAGCCCATTGCTCCCTTGTTTTTTCCCTGTAAATATATACTACATCATACCTCAGGTCAAGGGCTGTTGTTACTATAAAAGCAAACCAAAGGCCTTATTTGCTAATAAATTTAGAAAGAAAAAGTATAAACAAAGGGTAAAGCACAAAAATAATATATATGATGTCAACAGGTTTCAGCAATCTTTCAGAAAAACCTTCTATTCAACCGGAATGGCGTATAAAATTAAGTTTTTACACTTGCTTGAGAAGATTTTAGCTTTTGCAAAAAAGGGGTAATGGACATTCTGGTGATGGAAATATTTTTTTAAATCAGCTCTGACGTAGCAAAGTTTTACTTCAAATGAATGATTAGCTGTTTGCGCTGTCAGTGTCTTCCTGGATGTTCCTATTATCCACATAAACATGGATGGAAACAACATCGCCATTACTAGCTGACAAATTAACATAAGAACAACTTGTTCCACAGCAACACGTTCAATGAAACTTTTACTCAATAACTGATCTATGGTCGGTGCTAGATTGCAGCCTCTACTTCCTGTTTATTTCAACCATGAGTGAAGATGTAATGTGGACCAGAATGTGTGACCACATTATGCTTTGCATTGCTGTTTAATTCAAACCAAATGGAAACACCAAACAATATGAATAACATTTGCTACAAGATTTAATCCAGGTTCAGGAGTAAAAGGTCTGCATAGAGATTAGTCAGAACCATTTGAATTTCCAGCTATAATGCACAACAGTGGTCTAAAACTGTAGTCCGTGAAGTCTGGTTTGCAGTAACTTTAAGACTTATCTGATTTTACTTATCTGACTAAGGGGTGAAGGGCAAGAGACGCATTTAAAAGATGCTGGACAAGAGCCCTCAAAGATTCTAATTTAACCACAGGGTTAAAATCACCTATTCATGTGAATAATAAGAAAAACTAGTCAAGGTTTCTTACTTCCAGGAGCTGGATTTACCAACATCAGACAAAAATGAATCTCTATTATTAGAGAATAATAATGGCAGAAAGCAGAATAGTTCGCTTCCTGACATTTTTTGGGGGGGAGAAAGAAGGCACCTTTTAAAGCCAGGACAGTAAGTGATCTAAATTCCTTTTTGGTTTGCATATTTTGCTGTTTCTGGGGTTGTGTGGAAACTGATGTAGGGAGGCAGTTGTGCATAACTAAGACACCCATGGAGAGATCTCCTCCACCTCCTTTGCCCTTGGCCTTTACGTCATGCCTGGTTTGTCTTTAGACATTCAGCCTTGTTGGAGGCTTGTTTTGCGACCTTTAGACCAGCCAACCAGAACCACCTAGTTTGCAAACAGGCCTTTAAAGGAAAGAGACTTACACTTTCATTAACCAAAAATTTCCCTAAAAACATTTGGCTAAATTCTTTGCTTAATTGCCATTCATACTGTGAGTTTATTAGGATAGTCTGTTATGTTTTGAAAAGTTAACCAAGTCTAATAGAGTACAAACAGTTAAATGTGTCCACTACTAGACATTTCCCAACATAATAGGCTTTGTTTTAATGGTATAAGCTCTTATTCCTTAATGAATCCTTTGTAAATGCTAAAACAAAAGCCAAGGCTAAATAATTAAATGTGAGGTGAATATTATTCATTCAATCATTGAGTTCTTTGAGCCTTATTTTTTTATGACAGGACTTGCTTATGGTATATGTTGCTTTTGATTGTTTTTTTCTGCAAAGTATACGGGATCAAGGGTTTGAATTTATTGAGAAATATGGGAAAAAACAATAGCATAGCTTTATTTGACATTGTATCAATTCAATTCAATTTATCTTTATTGTCATTGTCACAAGAACAACAAATTTTTTTTTAAAAGTGCCACCGATCAGTGCATATGCTTAAAAACAAAAATCACTGTCACCACCTTTTACCCATAATATAAGAAATAAATAACAATAACTGATACAAAACAACTAATAAATCTCCTTATGGAAATGGCCTGGCTTAACTACTGAGACACACAACAGTGTTACCAACATATGTACTGCTTTTTAAAATCCCCTTAAATATAATTTCTGACTAAATAAGAATTAATCCCTTAAAATGTAGCTCATCCCAAAATCGACTTTTCTTGCATCTAATCTGAATGAACTCTGCTGCTATACATTTATGTTAAAAGGCACAACAGCAAAATAAATAAACTCCCAGCTATGTTTACAACCAGAAACTCGTGTGCGAGTGAAATGGCGACGCACGTCCATGATGGGTCACCAAGCATGTGCTTGACGCGCAGCCACGGAGCTTTTTGTGTGGTGGTTGATGAACTGATGTGCAAAAGTAGTTTAACATACTTTCATGTATGTTTATTTTGCTCTTGCGCATTTTGACCTAAATGTACCCCAATAGAATTGGTTTTATTGGTGCCATTTTATTGTTACTGTCGTTTCTTTTAAATCCTCTACACTTTCAACAAAGATTTATTGAGCTCTGCAATATTTCTCCCTCATCACTGTTAATATAGCTGAACGACAGCCACTGCAGTTGAATTGCCCTATTTGTAAAAATGGTAAAGGTACATGCCTACTACATGGGTGCAGGCATTTGTTACCACAGCCCCTGCGTTTGTCACCATGGTGAGATATCCTGTACTACCCCAGTAACACCGTCTTTAGGCATTGCTGAGTCAGTACCTTGAAGCAAGTGGGTCAAACTGATAAGGGCTTACCGGGCTCCACAAATCCTCCATCAAAAGTAGCAAAAAATCCTCAAACTAAAAAGATCTATCCATGGTGTAATTACCAGCATGCCTCACTTAGACGTGCCCCTTAGGGTCTTTTAGCAGAAATTTTACAAAATTTGGCTTTGGAGGCTTTCACGTTACTAAGTCAGGGTGAGAAAAACTTTGGCTTAATCATGAATCACAAACACTCAAAATAAAAGAATGCAGACATTGTAAAACCTTAAATGAATATAAAAAACAAGGGCAAAAAAGCAGATTTCAACATTTTTCACATGATAAATGTGGTATATATCGTCAGATTTCTTTAATAAGATTTTTAAATACTATTAAAAATGCATAACTGAAGGATTTCAGTTTTGAACAGGTTTTGAGGTTTTGCTTTAAGAGAATATTTTTGTAACAAAGGATAATTTCTCTCAAAGGGAAACCTATTAAAAACATTTATTTAAGTTCCTGATATAATTTTTTTCTTGCACCAGCCAGAATAATTTTATTTCTTTATTTTGTAGCAAAAAAAGTTTAGACTTCGGCACCTAAACAAATGTTTTAGTATCCCTGTTCAAGATATCAATATATAAGGCACCAGAAAAAAAAGCTTTTAAATTCCAATAGATGTCCCGCTGGGACTTTAAGCGTGTCTTCATTTTATTTTATTTGATATGTTATTAAGAGTGCAAATAACATATTGACACATTAAAAGATTCAGTACTGTGTTGCTGCAGTCCTATCGTGTTTTAAAATGTGTCCTTACCAAGCGTCTTCTTTCCTCCTCAACAGTGTTCAGCAGCTGGGAGAATTCTTTGAAAGACTGGGCTGAAATGAAAATAATAAAAAAAAAAAATGAGATTCGAGAAATAGAGAACAATTGATGCTTTTGGATTGTTTTGAAATGCCTTCACATGCAAGATATCTGTGTGCAAAAACAGACGGCAGCATCGTGCCGGTAAGATGAAATAGAAACAACCAGCGCGGTGCTGCAGACGTTAGAGATGTGATGTTTCAGACACCTCCCACAGGACAATATTGTGCAAAATGTTTATTTGCTTTCTAGCTTCAGATCCTTCAGCACAGTGCATTTCAGAATGTAATAAAAGCATGCAGCTGTCCAATTTAAACCCAAGCATTGCCCTGCAGTAAGAAACAATACCTCAATTGAATGGATTCCACTGATCACTTCTCTTTTCTTTCATCCCCTGCAAGGCTTTACTATATACTGGCCCAGTGTAAAAGAGAGTGATGAGGTAGAGATGTGTTCTCACCATCTGGGATATATTTCAGTAGCCCAGATTACATCCTACTAGGCCAGATGAATATCAGAATACAATGTATCCCACCTTATCTGCAGTAGAATTGTGCCTGGATAGGTTCACAGCTTCATTAAGTAAAAGCCCTGATAAAATTTGGCCTCTGTAGGAGAGCCCCCGTGTCACTGCATGTCTAGGCATTTAGCGGCGGTCAAGCTCTGCTGCTTGCCAACAGAGTCACATCATTATCAACCCCGACAGCCTGGGAAAGGGACCCATGCATCATTGTGGACACGTTGGTCTATTTGCACACTAGATCTTTCAAAAACCAGGGAGCAATGATTTTGTGCCAACAATCTTGCAGGCAGCTGGCCTTCTTTGAATGCTACTAGCTCCTTTATCAACAGAGCAGGGCTATGAGGGGGTAAAGGCCACAGCGGGAGCCGCTGATGGTACAAGATTAGGAAGGAAATGGGAATCAAAGTAGGGTTAGAGCTTGCATATAATTCACTTGTAAATGGGGGGAAAGCAATAAATGTGATGAATCACTAAGTGAAATCAAAGTGGATAAATAAGATGGATCAGTTTATTTAAAAAAGTAATTTCCTGTATGAGTTTCCTAATAATATAATTATAAATTCTGTTCACTGCTGGTGCATAGCTGACATACACATGCTATCTGCTTGAATGTCATATAAAAGTGTTTTAGCCATTCTTTTTGTCAGGATGGATACAGGAAACAGAATCTTTAGATATGAAAACTGGATGCACAAATTTGAATTGATTTTGGTTTTACTCTAGTTCACATGGTGGAAAAATTATAGGAACAGGTTCAGAACACACAAATATCATTTCTGCTCTCTCCCCATCCCCTTTTCTATCAGTCACCTATCAAAATAAAAGTTGCTAAAGTAAAAAAGTAAAAAAAAAACAAAAACACATTCTGTTCTGATTTTTTTTATCCTTTTGCATGTTCATCACACTTAGGTGTTTTAAAACCTCACACAAGTTGAACTTATCTATCAAAACACAAGTCAGCACATAATAAAGTTTAAATCTGTAATTACAAATTAAAGGGAGAAAAAAATCCAGACCAATGTGGCCCAGAGTGGAGGGTTTTTGGCTATGTTCACACTGCAGCCTGAAGTGACCCAAATCCGATTTTTTGGCCCATATGCGACCTGTATCTGATCTTTTCATGGCTGTCTGAACAACATCGATCCGATTTTTTCCAATGCGACCCAGGCCGCTTGGCTATGTGCTCCTGAATCTGATAGGAATCTGATCTTTTCAAATGCGACCTGTGTCTGAACGGCCAGGTCACATTCATCTGACCTGAATGCCATTAATAGCTGACAAAGGTCACTATTCTGGGTCTTGCTATGAAGAAGCGGCAAGAAAAACAAAAACCATGGTGGACGGAGATTAATGCGGAGAGCAGCATTTATGTTTAACCATCTTGAAAAGATTGTGTTTTTATGGTTGGGAAAGATCGCTAGATGAGCTCTGGCACTACCATCCATGTTTACTTCCATAAACACAGAGTTCGCTGGCCTGTGACGTCATTGCGTCCTCTACTGCGCATGCAGGACACTTGCGTTGTATGACTGCAGTTCACACTGGAGATCACATACAAGTCGCATATATTTGGAAATGTGAATGGCAATGCAAAAAAAAAATTGGATTTCACAAAAAAATCAGAATTGAGCATCAAGGCCTGCAGTGTGAACGTAGCCTAAGATGACCTTTTTAAAGTAATCCTACATCCTCCCAATATGAATCCAGTCAGCGCTTTGACTAGGTCTCTCCAAGGTCTTCATTTTGTTTTATTCCAGCCATTCAGAGGTGGTGTTGCTGGTGTGTTTTGAATTATTTTCCTGCTGCAGAACCCAAGCTATTCTAGCATGAGGTCACTAAAAGCTGGCCAGAAATTTTCTTTCATTATTTGTTTTTATTAATTTATTTATTTATTTTTTTGGTGGACAGCAGATTATTACTGCAAGTCTTTCAGGTCTTGAGGGAGCAAAACAGCTTTAGACCATCACATTACCACTACCTTATTTTACTCTTTGTATGATCTTTTTTTCTGAAATGCAATGTTACTTTAACACCAGATTTATGGGATATGCACCTAAAAGTTCAACTTTTGTCTTCTCAGTCCACTGAATATTGCGTCAGAAGTCTTACGGCTCATTAAGATGTGTTCTGAAAATTTTATTTTTGCTCTGTTACCCTTTCCAGACTAATGGACTCAAATTCTCTTATTTGTTTGTTCTTGATTTATTTTTCTTTAATCTCAGCTAAATGTCTAGGTTTTGAGGTTTTTACTGTCTGACAGGTCCTATTTGGGTTATTTCATATGTTGTAGTAATCAGGCCTGGATCTGGCTATAGGAAGTAAACTCAGGCGTAATAAATCACAGTTATGCTTACACAGGTGACAGGCTGTCACTTTGTCAAACAGCGCCATGTAGGCTTGTTTTTTTCCCCCCCGAAACAAAAAAAAAAAAATGTAAAAACTACAATTTCAGTTAATTTGTCTAAAAGTAAAAGTAAAAACACTGGAACAACAATTTCACACACCATATTATAAATTCCTAAAATATTTTTTTATTTTATTTACAAATCTATTAACTCGTTTTAGCTTGAACATTTGAAACCACCACTGAAAAAGGATTTTCAGAAGGACAAGAGGAAATAAAGAAGATTTTAAAATCCTCAACACAGCACAAACTGTCAAGCATGAAGGTGATAAGCTCACAATGAGAATATTTCATTGGTGCATTGAACATGTATAATAAGAGCAGAGAGTAATACCTCCAAATCCTTCCACTCCATCCCCAACATAAGTACTATGTAGTTGATGCTTCACAGTTTAAAGGTATGAAGCACATGTACAAACTAGTTGTGGAATGTAGGAAGTAAGGTAACACGCAGGTAGTTATAAATATGTAGAGAATGCCTATAAGCCACCTTGCACCAGATAACTGATATATAAACAATATCCAAGACCCTGTTGATACTCACCCTGCAATGGGTTTAAAATATGGCTTGAGTTGATTTTTTTCCCCTTAATGTTTAAAATAAAAAGTGACAAATAACATGTATCACTTTAAAAAAACAAAAAAAAAGCTTTTATTTCAATCTAACCTTCTGGGAGGTGAATTTAATTTAAAGGGCAAAGAAATTCAAAATGTGACATGTAGCTAATCACAGGCGGGATGATTTGTCCGGTGGGTAACACCTTCAAAGTGACTAAAGTTGATAATGAGCACACAGATACAGGTCCACATGTGAGGACAAGGGAGGCTGCGCATGGTTTGATATTCAAGAGGGCAGGAACATAGCCATGAGAGCAGGAAAAAGCACTTTTGTGTACATAACACGTTAATCATGTGCATGAGGAAGAGTTGATGATGGTCTGTGTAAAGTAAAACTGCTTGTAGGACTATTACATGCTTGTGTGGACTTTTGGCAGAATACTACGCCATAATAAACTGAGCAAAAGTTTGGTTGCCTCCCATTTAAGCCTCTTTTATGAATTCAACAGCTCCCGAAGACTCAAGAACTGACCTTTGAGGAGAGGTCCTTCTACATTTCTAAAAAATTAAAATTTCTATAGCCACATCAATCTCTTGGCCCCATTGATTCCTAGATAACTGACATGGCATGTGAATGTCACTGCAGGAAGTCATCGAGGAAAATCAATAAAAGGTCAGGCGAACCTGTCTGACAGCGCACACAACATCCCAATGTTTTGTGGGGAGGCTGAAAGCATCAAAGTGAACTGCACCAATACTGCATCAAGATCCTTGGTGGCATTCATTCAAGGGTCTGGCTATGTCAGTCAGAAAGCCTGGTTTCATTGACGTCAAGATTGATTTCAACAGGCTGTTTCATTTTCCCCCCAAATAGTTATCATGGCCTTTTCTCTGTGAGACAGTGAGTGAACACAGCAGTGTAGCTTAGAGTTTAAATGGAAAACTGGCCAAGTGTTGAATTGAAAATTAACACAAAGGCAAGTTTCATTAGATAATTACATTTAAAATTTGATTCTTACATAATGTCATTTCATTGTATTGTCCTGATTATTTTCTTAATAAATAACAAAATCAATTTACAGGTGAGACAATAAAACTGCTATTGTTCCATCTGTGATCAACAGAACTCTCATTGCAGGCCTGGGAATGAGAGCATTGCCTCAAATTAAACTATGCTTTATTCTAATGATACTTGGCTTTGGGTGTGGACTTTTCCATTTAACATAATTAGCATCTGGGCCCATGACCCCCATACGGTTACTGCAGCTTTGTGTGGTAATGGTCATTTAACATTCTGATGAACATTAAAGCCTCGAGATGAGGCGGTCGATATCCTGTCCAGCCCTCACAGATGGACAGTAATTCAGCAGACCACAGCTCAGCACAGAGCAGAGGACTTAAGCTGGGGATAATGAGTGGGATGCAAAACAAGAGGAGAAGGAAGAGGCCAGACTGACAATCCTGCCCATTAGAGCCGGCGCATCCCCCAGCACATCTGCTTTCATATACCTGTAGGAGGCTGGAGTATTTCCACCTTCATTAATCTCTGACACTGATCACAATTAGTCCTTCAGATGTCCTGGAGACGTGACAAGTTTTTGCACAAGAACTGTCTAAGGAAAAAAAATTTAAAATACAAAAAACAAAGAGGGAACATAGACTAAGCTGTGGTTCAACTATATGTTAGATGAAAATCTACACGTCAGCTACATTTAAAAACAGGGCTTTTTTCCCCTATACTTGCCGTTTAAATCATTATACCCTGTTGTCTTACTATCTCTGATTTACCTTCTTTTACACTCTTTTTTCCTCTTTGGTTACACAAAGTGTTTTGTGTTTAGCTAACATAACAAGACATGCATGATTCTGTGCATGCACATAATGAATAAACAGAAAGGAGCCATAGAAGAAGCCGTAAACATATATTGTCAAACGGAGAAGCCATTAGCCCAAGCAAGTCAGCAATGCCAAGCAAAGGTTTCCAAAATCAATTCCAATATCAAGTGTAAAAAACATAACAATATTTGATGCCAAAAGGGATAAGCCAAGAGTAGCACTTGGAATACTATATTAGTGTTGCTGTGTTCACTGCAATAGAAGCTAAAGCTGCAAAAGCATCCAGATTTTGCTGACAGGTTGATGGATGTGTGAATACACGGCCTTAAGGCTTGTTTATGCTTGATGCATCTACGTTCAGCGCGGAAATGAGACGCCCGGAACGTTGCCGACACAGCGCTTGAAGCATTTAACACACCATGTAGCTTTTCTCTGCTCTAGCCAATATTCTGCCAACTCTAGGGGGGGTTGTAGGACACAGACAGCAACATTACAAGACCGCAATACAGAAGTAGAAAACACGTTTGTTTCCAACTATTTTAATGCCTCTTCTTATTATCCAAGAGTGAGAGTTAATTATTTCCAAGCGCTGTTCACAATCTGTTGATCGTAATTACAATATTTATGGACCAAATTATAAGACCTTTTTTTTATATTTCAAAGCCTCACCAATAGGAGCTGTTGCTTTACTGCCTTCTTTATTCGCATGGATGGATGTGCAATAGGTATTATTTGCAATAAATTGCAAATAATACCTATAGGTTGTGCAATCCTAGGTGTTCAATACGAAATAATCAGGCCGAGTGGAGACCAGTGAATGTAAGAATGTCGTAATTGAGGCACTGTGTAGACCTTGTGGACACATCAAGCATAAGCCAGCATTTATTAATATTGATGTTGTTGATACTGTAGCAAAGGTTTTTACATATAGAGACAGAAACGTTTATAAAGTAAAAATTGTGTATAATATTATTTTCTATTGTATTTTTTGCTCTTAAATATAGCAAGTGTTTTGCAAGGCAGTATATAGACTATGCAACTCAATCTCTTACCATAAATTAGTACTAACTATGAATACTTTATTTAGCATAATTACCACACACTGAATGCAAATCTGTTAAGACATGCAAATCTATATGGCAAATTGTGGCAACAATTTAGCTTGCAACATGCACCTTTCTAAGGAGGCAAAGGAGCCCTTAGAAGCCAAGAAAAATTACACTGGAAAAGCACAACTGGAAGTTGTAACCCTATCCCCACCTGAAGCTATGGTGTCTTGAGGCAAGATGCTGATCTACAACTGACTCGTGGTGACAGACAAGTGACTGCATGGCAGCTCTGCTGGACTGGTGTGTGAATGTTTGTGAATTTAGGTGTATAAGACCAACAAGGTAAAAAGCTTTCCAAAACACATCATAAAAGTTACACCACTATGGGCAAAAAGATATCTGTACACCACAGCCAAGTGGTAGCCAAGAGTCTAAACTTTTCAAAATAGTTCAGATTCACATCTTGAGAAAGGGCATATATCTATTAGGCATTTTTATGATGACAAAATAATCCTTTGAGTGAGGAATAGTTAATGGTTAATCAACAGGAAATTGTATGTGTTTAACACCATCTGAAATGATATAAAGAAACAGCACTGCATTGAAAGATACTAAAAAGGTATTCAGTGTGATCTATAAATTCCACACATTAAAAATCTTTTAGCTCCTGTTTAAAGCTTCTAGGACACTGGTTATAAATTCAAATTAATCTAAGCAGGACTGCAGCTATTATTAATTTAAATTATTCTTCTCATTTACCGAAAAAAAATGTGTCTTATCACATCAATATACCAGAGTATAAAAAAGTAAATAAACTTAAAAACACAAAAAGGTGCTCATTGTAAATTAATTTAATTGAAAAACTACAGACAAAGGTTTTAACAAATGAAATAACAATTTTCTGTTTTTCTAATAGAAGTTAATTACTAATTACTACTTTGAGTCTTTTCTTTTTTCGGCAAAGTGGATGTTTTAAAGTTGGTATATTCCTAGCAATGATTATACAGTTGACATATTAGTTAGAATTAATCTGATTAATTGTCCCAACCGTAGATTGGAAAAGTTTTGAAAGAGTAAAAGGTAGAGCAAAGGTCAAGGAAAATCTGACCGTAAAAAAAAAAAAAAACGTAAATACTAAGTGAAATGGCAAGTTTTCTAGGTGTTCATCTTGAAAGCATGGATAACTGGTGGCAAAAATCATTACCTGCAAATAAAGATCTACCAAAAGGGATGAGATCACTCAGACAGTTCATTTTCTTGTACAAGAAGAACAGGGGCTGAGTCTGAAGCTGCTCTAAGGTACAGTAGACAGCTCATGTCAGTAGTTCATAGTGATTGTTTACGGTGCTTAACCTTTTCTGTAATCAGTACTGTCACAAAACTGTCCTGACAATAACAGACATAAACTTAAAAAATATTCTTGAAGATTGTTTCCTCCCCATGATCAAAATAAGAATTCCAAATAAAAGGGCATAGGAGTAAACCTTGTGCTTCTTTCAACACATAGTCTTTGGACCTGTCTCTTTTGATAAATTTCCTATCACAGATGCCACTTTTTTTGTTAAACTAAATGACCCCCCCCCCCGCCCAACCCACTTTCCTGTATCGAAGATAGGGCATTTCATATGGATCAGGATTAAGCAAGTAATAGAGAGCGGTTCCAGGATAAATTATACTTACCAATGTTGACCTCATCATCCGTTTCAGCATCACCTATGCACTCAAACTGGAACTCCTGTAAGGACTGAGAGAACTTCTGCACTGCAGCAGAAAGACCTGGAATATCAAACAATCAGAGAAAAAGATCAAATGAATATTTAAATCTCTCACTGAAGAAAAACAACCAATACATTATTATTATACTGATTGAAAATGTAACCTAAACCTCAGAGACTGCTTAAACAGATAATCAATAACTCCAAGTAACTTGTTGCATGTTTCTCCAGTACTGTAGGTCTCCATAAATGCATGCCTGAGAGTTTCCCCTAATTCAAAACAAGTTTTTATATTCTATATTTTCAGTTTTTATTAACTGTTAAACCATCCCTGTATTCTCCTTAGAGGACACTTCAATTAGGTGTGTTTTATTTTGTTCCGGTGGTAAAACATTTAAAATAAATTGCTTTCTGAATATGTATGAAATCATTTTATGAAAATAGAACTTAGCCCCAGGATGCAAAAACTCCAATGGCTCACTAAGCTTAGGGACACACATTTTGCCAAAATATATTAATATACTAAATCAAGCAAAAATCCTCCTGCAGTCTGCCACACCTGCCTTCAGTGTCATACTCAAGCCAAATATCTAAAGCCTCAAAGCTTCTTCTCTACTGTATGAACCAAAAGCCATATTGTAAACAGAGTTGCTTCACAAAGAAGACGTGTCAACAGTTGAGAAGCTCCATAATCCTGACAAGGAGTGCAAAATGCAAAACGTTTGTGCCGAAGGGAAACACACAGAGCTCTCTATAATGAAATGAATGAAACACCTTAAATGAGTGCAGCTTCCAGCAGATTGTAGAACACATAATGGTAAGTTTAAGTGGTGTAATTATTTAGAAAAATATGATTTGGTTTTAACAGGGCTGTTTAGGGCCATTTTATTTTGAATGTGAGAAAGCAGCAGTTGAATAATTAGCATATTCTTTGGATATGAAAAAATAGGTAGATAAATCTGTTGACCTGAACCTCCAGTGAATTATGCATTATCAGCGTCAGGCTTTTCTTTCAGATGTGCATCACCATCGATGGAAGATGTATTTGATTTTAACCAGGCTATTTTGAAGACTGTGCTCACTGATTTTTACCAACATGTGGACTTTGCAACTAGGGGTGAAAACACTTTAGACCTGGTTTACTCTTACATCAAAGATGCAATCAGAGCAGCACCCCGCCACCACCTCGCATCATCGGATCACCTCTGTGTCATGCTAATTCCTGCATACAAGCCCCAGCTAATCACAGTTAAAGAGGTCCGAGTGTGGTCTGAGGGTGTCATCGAGGAACTCCAAGACTGTTTTGAATGCTCTGACTGGAATATCTTCTAAATATAGATGAGTATGCCATGATTGTGTCAGCCTAGCCTGAAGTAGTCCGACTCAATTCTAGTCAGAATATGAGTCTGATACTGCTCCATAGAGCTGTGATTATGGGGCGTGTTTCGAACGAACCAGGAAAAAAAATGCCTCTGCACTCAATTGGATAGACCTACAACCAATAAGAGCAACGGAGTGCGTGACGTATGTTAAGCGAGGCATAGTTGTTGTCCACAAAAATCAAAGCGTGCAGTTGCACGCCTATAATAAGAAGATGAGACTTGATCGCGTTTCTCTGTTCCTCTTTTAAAATTAATTTGTTGTTGATATCTTATAGAACAGACCTAATAGCAGAATCTACTCACCTAAACTCTCCAGCGGCAGCCATTATTGTTGTCACCCAAGCGCGCATTGGTCACATGGTTGATTACGTTACTGTTGGTCATCTGTCCATCATCGTATAAAGCCCGCCCTGACAATTTGATTGGATCGCCTGACAGTGGGCGATAATACTCGCGCTACTATGGAGCAGAGCCAGACCGAACTTCCCCGACCTCAAACTTTGTGGGCGGGACTAAGTTCGGAACAGCACCCAGGCTAGTGTCAGCCTACATCAACCAATGCATTGAGGAAGTCATCATCAAAAAGAACATCACCACCCGAGCAAACCAATGACCCTGGATGAATGGGGAGGTTCGGAAATCGCCAAAAGCACGAAACTCAGCTTTCAAGTCTGGTGATAAAGAGGCACTGCACTGAGGGCAGCGCGTGCCAACATAAACCGTGCCATCAGATCAGCGAAGCAGAACCACAGCCAGAAAATCCAGTATCTTTTCCAAGATAGCAGCAACACCAGGAGGATGTGGAAAGGCATATGGGCGATTACAGATTGCAACTTTACCTGGACTGTAAACACCACCTCACTGGTCAAAAGGGCATAAAAGTGCATGAACTTCCTGAGGAGGATGAAGAGAGAACACTTGCCCCTGCCCATCCTCACGACGTTTTGCAGAAGCACAATAGAGAGAGTTCTGACCAGCTGTCTCACTGTTTGGTTTGGAGGCTACTGTGCCTCAAACTGCGAGAAGGTGAGGAGAGTAGTGAGAACTGCAGAGAAGATCATTGGGGCTCCTCTCCCCTCCATAAAAGACATTTCATCCCAGCGCTACATGTCCCGAGCCCATAACATCATAAATGACCCCTCACACACCCACCATGGACAGTTCTTCCAGCTGCCCTCTAGGAAGAGGCTCTGCAAAAGCTTCTTCCCCACTGGCAATACACTGCTGAATGTTGGAAAAACCCGTAAATCATATCTCTGTCTTACATTTGATCACAATGTTTAAATTTTTATCACTGCTGCTCTTTAAGAAATGGAACTTTCTTGAGAGCTGTATTGAACGAAATCTCATTTTGTATACACTCTGTGTGTACAAAATAACAATATAGTTTGTCTAAGTCTAAAGTATAGGTAAGTCATCTGCAATGCCTCAGGAAAGGTGCAAAATCAAAACAGCAGCATTGTTTGGTAAACAAAATGAGAAAAAATGCATGAAAACAATATAAGAAAAATATGTAATAAAACTATACATTTTTATTGCACATTATGAAATGTTTAGCAATTCATAATGTATGATGTATGATGATGTAATGATGAGTATAAAGCTACTGTAGGACAAGCTCAGCCAGAGGCACGTCAAGTTCCCAAACCCAAGAAGCGAGATCTGTTCTGGGGATGGTGGAGGTATTTCTGGTCTGGTCAGGAAGCTTCTTTCTTCACAATGTCAGTATATCTTTCATGTACAGCACTCACCATCATCTGTGGCACGAGTCAGTCAAAGACAGGGCAGGGACATGAGAGAGATTTATCTGGTCAGCATATTCTGTATAGTGCTCCTGCAGAAGGTGGCAAAAACTGAAGACGGGAGATGTACCTTCCGATGTACCTTCAGCAATTTGTGCACTGCAAAACTTTCTTTATCAAACCTTAGGACCAGGTTAGGGTATCTATTATCTGCATCACCATGAATTTATGGTGCTGGCCCTTTTCACTGCTGTGTTGTTAATGACAAGAGGTTCGTAGCTAAGGCTGACTCTTCCTGAAATCATTGATGATCCTTGTGGTGTTTTTAATATTCAGGACAAGGTTTTTGGTTTTTCACTAATCGGGTATTGCCCTCACAAATAAGGCCAACTACTGCGGTGTCATCTGCAAACTTCAAAAAGTAGTTTGTGGTAGCCATGGGTCATCGGTCGTGTGTCTACAGGGTGTAAAGGAGGGGTCTACTGGTGAAGCCTTGAATGAGCCCAATGCTGAGAGACGCAACACTATTCATGTCCACCTGCACAGGCTTGTGTCAAACCAAATCAAAGTGGTTGTTGGGCTAGTCTAGGAAGTTGATATTTTTACACAGGAATATCAACAGGGGGGCAGTTTTATAAATCATTATGGCCAAAATGACAGAACAGAAATGTGAAAAAAATCATCTAGCTTTACTAAAGTAAAGTCTTACTAATTATTTATATTTAAAGCATAAAAAACTACTACTATTTTATAACTTTTTTATTATTAAACAAAGACAAAATTACTGCAGATTTGAAATTTCTTTTATTATAAGCAATTTACATTAGCAGTTAGCGTTAGTAACTGAGATTACCAAAAGATTTCGATGTGTCAAATCCAGAATGTTCAACAAAAGAGGCTAAGGGCTCTTAAAAATGAACTAATTTGTTGTTTTCCATTCAGCCCTTCTTTTTTCAGCTGAAAGTTTTGTCCTTTTTCATAGTGTGAATGTACCACAGACATGTCTCAACCTACCAGAAACATTAGTACCTAGAGGGCACCAATGCATGCATAGGGGAAGCATTCAAACTCCATGCAGTGAGAGCCAAAGCCAGCCTTCTTGAACAATTTTCAAAAGAATTTGTATCTTTATATTTAGAACCTTCCAAAATAAAGTTTAACATCGTTACAACTTGACAGTTCTTGGAATTGTAGTGGGAAAAATACAGATTTTTGAAAAACCAATAAAGCAGACATCTGCCAGGACTAAAAAAACTGAAAAAAATTTATTTATATTACTCTGCTTTTGATACTTCTTTTTTTGCTAAATGGATCCCAGTACCCAGTTTGAGTTCTTCTAAAATACACAAGGTTTATCTAATTGATCATGCATTTATAATAAAAGTGAAAACATAAAAATATACCATTCTTTTTAAATAGTATAAACTTTGCATTTTCTTTTGTTGTCAAATTAACTTGTACAGAAGAATTTCTTTTTGTATTTCTCAAATGTTGGTGAACTCACAACAAACACTAACCTAATACTACTTCAAATTAGTTTCTGTTTATTTAAAGCAAGACAAATGTTTAGTAATTCAGACAAATAAATAAAAAAATGACACGGTAACTTCTTAGGAATATGCAGAAAATACTTCATTTGTGTAAAAAAACTGCACCTTTATGTCTATTGATGGGAATTTTCAGAGAATAATAAGACCTTGAAATCATTGTTATCTAAAGAGTGTTTGTTTAACTTTGAGATTTTAGTCAATAGCTGAGAAATGTTTTGCTCTGCGAAGCAATGATCCACAATGGTTTGCTTTGTGGAGTGAATTCTTACATATATTTTAACATACCAATCAAGTCATAGAGCAGAGCAAAAAATAAAAATAAATAAATAAAATTGTTATAAAGGGGTGCTTTGTGTACAATTTTAAGGGAATAGATTAATTCAATTA